CTCAAACTCACAGAGATCTACCTGCTTCTGCCTCCCAAATGCTGGGATTAAAGGCGTGTGCCATCACTGCCCAGCCAAGATTTATTTATTAACTATACAGTGTTCTTACTGCATGTATGCCTGTGTGCCAGAAGAGGGCACCAGATCTCATTATGGATTGTTGTGAGCCATCATGTGTTTGCTGGGAACTGAACTCAGGACCTCTGGAAGAGCAGCCAATGCTCTTAACCTCTGAGCCATCTCTCCAGTCCCTCATTTTTTTTTTTTTTTTGGTTTTTTTGAGACAGGGTTTCTCTGTAGCTTTGGAGGCTGTCCTGGAACTCGCTCTGTAGACCAGGCTGGCCTCAAACTCACAGAGATCCACCTGCCTCTGCCTCCCGAGTGCTGGGATTAAAGGCATGTGCCACCACAACTACTTGGCAACTAATTTTTCTTAAATGAAGGAGATGTTTCTGAAGCTGAGTGTAGTGATACATGTCTCTAATACTGACACTCAGGGCCACACACATTAAGACACCATTTAAAAAAATAAAAGGACCTGGCAGCGGTGGCACATTCCTACAAAGCAAGTACCAGGCTACACAGAGAGACCCTGCCTTGAAAAACAAACAAGGAGGAGGAGGAGATGAGGAGGAAGAGGAGGAGGAGATGAGGAGGAAGAGGAGGAGGAGGAGGAGGAGGAAGAGGAGGAGGAGGAAAAGGGAAGGACACAAATCTGAGAAGGAAAACTAAATGTTAGTAGGATAAATAGAAAAGTTCTATAGACTACCATCAGACAAATGCTGGCAAGGTGGTCAAGCATAGGAATACCTTAGTAGCTGGGCGTTGGTGGCACACGCCTTTAATCCCAGCACTCGGGAGGCAGAGGCAGGCGGATCTCTGTGAGTTTGAGACCAGCCTGGTCTACAAGAGAGAGAAAAACTCCGTCTCAAAAAACAAACAAACAAAAAGGAATAGCTTAGTATCTTGGGACTCCCCTTGGTTTGACTTACACATTCTCCCCTCTTCTTCCAATAATGTGCTTGGCAGCCTAGCACCTTCACCTACATGAGCTACACACAGATCTCTCTCTACACAGTGTCCCTAAGAGAGTAGTACTCCCTAGATCCCTACCTGAGTCAGTCTACCAACACACCCTTCTCTAAACAGTAGTGTAAGTTTCTCTGACCCTACCAACAATCACAGTTAGGCAGTTTCTATTCTAGTATATTCCCAACACATACAGGCATGAAGAATTCAAAGCTGATTTGTCCTGAGCTGGTTTTGGGAGCAGTTTTAAGGCAAAACTGTATCCTTAAGTGAACTTTTACAGAAAATCCCCAACTTACCCTCTTACGCCTATGCGTAATTGGGCGTTCACACGATTAAAATCAGATGCATTATGGGACAGGACTTTGTGCAGTAGAAAAACTATCTATAACCTGATGTATCGCCGAAACAGGGAGTCACCCTAGCTATGCCCCTAGGAACGAAACTCCTCCTTCTCCTGAACCCCATAAGAAGAAACGCTGAACAGTAACAAACAGCCTTGGGTGCCCTCATTCATGTCTGCTATCAGGCTTGCCAGATCCTCCTATGAGCTGGCCTGTTGCTTTGTTCTCAGTAAAGTTATCCTGCTATTTTGCACAGCTATGATTCTTATTTTTAGCTTTATGGCTAAGAGGCCAAGAACCTGGAAACACCTAATCCTGACCACTGGCTGGAGACAGAGCTCAGTTGGTAGGTTATTTGCCTAGCACGCAAGAGACACTGGGTTTGAACCTCAGCATTCTATAAAATGGGTATGTGGTACACAGACACCTGTAATCCAGACACTCAGGAGATGAGGGCAAAAGGATCAGAAGTTCAATCCTAGGGAAATTCAAATAGAAACCCACGAGGATGCTTATAACAAAAGTAAGAGTTGAAAAGGCTGACAAGAAGTTGGGCAAGTAGTTCAGTGGCACAGTGTTGCCTAGCAGGCTCACAGCCTTAAATTCATTCCCAGACCTGTAAACTCAGTATGGAGACACACACCGGTAATCTCAGCACTGGGAGGGGGTGTGTGCAGAAAGATAAGAAGTTGACGGTCATTCTGAGCTGCATAACAAGTTCAAGGCCAGTCTTGGCTACTTGAGAGCATTTCTAACCACACAACGACAACAAAAAAACTGAAAAGAATGAGTTTTGGTGAGAATGTGGAGAAATGGGACTGTTCACACAATGCTGGTAGGAATGTCATTGGGGTAGTACCTGGACACAGTTCAAGGCCAGCCTGGTCTACAGATCGAGTTCCAGGACAACCAAGGCTATTACACAAAGAAACCCTGGCCTCGAGTACACGCGCATGTGTGCGTGTTTGTGTGCGTGTATACAGGTGCATGTATGTGCCTCTGTGTGCTCAGAAGCCAGGCAGAGTGTTGGGTGGCAGCCTCTAACATCCTCTGCCTATCCCTGCAAGGCAGGGCTCTACATGATTTGGAGCTCAGGCCTCAGGAAAAGCAGTAATAATACTCTATCAACACTGTAGTTACAGGCATCTGCAGGGACATCTGGCTTGTCACATGGGTGCTAAGATCCAAATTCTAGAGGAAGTATTCTTAACCACTGACTCAGCTCTAGCCCTAGGGTTTATTTTATTTTTAAAATGATTTTTATTTTAAGTGCATTGGTGTTTTGCCTGCGTGCATATCTGTATGAGGATGTCAGATCCCCAGGAACTGTAGTTACAGACACAGATGGTTGTGAGCTGCCATCGGGTGCTGAGAATTGAGCTGCAGTCCTCTGGAAGAGCAGACAGTGCTCTTAACCCCTGAGCCATCTCTCCAGCCCCTTATTGATTGATTGGTTGGTTGACTATTTTTTTGTTTGTTTGTTCTGTTCTGTTTTTTTTTTTTTTCAAGACAGGGTTTCTCTGTGTATCCCCGGTTGTCCTAGGACTCTATTTGTAGACTGGGCTGGCCTTGAACTCAGAGATTCACCTCCTGAGTGCTATGACTAAAGACATGTTCCACCATGCTCAGCTTGGTCTTGAGTTTTTTAAATTTGTTTTGGGTTTGGGTTTTTTTATTTATTTATTTTCTTTTTGAAACAGGGTTTCTCTGTATAACAACCCTAGTTGTCCTGGAACTCGCTCTATAGACCAGGCTGGCCTTGAACTCACAGAGTTCTGCCTGCCTCTGCCTCCCCAGTGCTGGAATCAAAAGCACACACCACCGTAACTGGCCGGTCCCAAATTTTTTAACAAAATTATGTTACACACACACACACACACACACACACACACACACACACACACACACACGCTTGCATAGGTCAGAGAACATTCAGGGGGAGTAGTTGGTTTTCTCCTTCTGCCATGTGGGTTCCAGGGATCAAACTCATTTATTGGCTTAGCAGCAGATCCACTGAGTCATCTTGCTGGCCCTTTATTATATTTATTGTTTTTGTTTCTTTTTTCTTTTTCTTTTTTTCTCTTTTTTTTAGGTTTTTTGAGACAGGGTTTCTCTGTATTGTTTTGGAGGCTGTCCTGGAACTCGTTGACCAGGCTGGCCTCGAACTCAGAGAGATCCGTCTGCCTCTGCCTCCTGAGTGCTGGGATTAAAGGTGTGGGCCACCAACGCCCAGCTTCTCTATATTGTTTTGGAGGCTCTCTTGGAACTCGCTCTGTAGACCAGGATGGCCTCGAACTCACTGTTTTTGTTTCTTGAGACTGGGTCTCGCTATGTGGTTTTGTGGCCTGGAATCTGTGATTGTCCTGCCGTAAACTCTCCAGCGCTGGGATTACAGTGTGGAACACTGTGCACTGTTTTCCAATAGTTTTTGTTTTTTAGATGTATTTTATGTGTATGAGAGCTTTGCCTGTATGTTTGTGTGCGTCTGTCTGTGCCATGTGCATACCTGTTACCTCAAAAGTCAGGAGGGAACTTCAGATGGTTGGAAGCCAATATGTGGGTGCTGGGAATTGAACCCTGGCCTTTTGAAGAGAAGCCTGTGTGGAGCTCTGAGTCAACTCTCCAGTTGCCACCCTTCCCCCTAGATTTTTATTCTGCTGTAGGAATAGGGTGACTTCAGCTTCCTTCTCTCTGGCTAGCGAGCACCCCACGGTGTGGATGCTTCGTGAGAACCAGGTATGTAGTTCAGAGAGAGAAGCCGCTGTTTTGGAATCAGACCTACAGACGTGGGCTTCTTCCATGAGACAGTAAGAACAGCACTTCACAGGAGATCACAGGGATCACATATATAAGGACCTTTGCACACCGGAAGCTGTCAGCAAGCAATTCTCATCATGTTACAAAGCTGAGGCTTCACAACGGTCCTTTAGCAGTAATAAAAATGGCTACACTGGCCGGGCGGTGGTGGCGCACGCCTTTAATCCCGGGAGGCAGAGGTAGGAGGATCTTTGTGAGTTCGAGGCCAGCCTGGTCTACAGAGCGAGTTCCAGGACAGCCTCCAAAGCCACAGAGAAACCCTGTCTCGAAAAACCAAAAAAAAAAAAAAAAAAAAAAAAAAAAAAATGGTTACACTGTCAGGGTGCTGTGAACCTGAGACCATCTGCGCTGTGCTCAAGGGGGTCCTCCACCACGCTCTGGCATTTGTAAACAGCATTCCTGATGCCCTTGTAGCATGTAGTCTAATTAGTTGAATCTTAAAAATAGTCAAGGCAGCTGTGCTTGTTTTACAGAGACGGTTGGGTGCTTGCCTGGCATGCAAGAAACCAGGGGTTCGAACCTCAGCATGGTATGAACCTCAGCGGGTAGAGACAGAAGGATCAGAAGTTCAGTTCCAGGCTCCCTGGGCTACACGAGGCCCTGTCTCAAAAGCGAGGTGTGTGTGTGGGGGCAACAGAGCGTCAGAGAGTTTCATTAATTTGCACGAGTCTTCTCTGGAAGGAAGAAAGCGCCAGGCTGCAGAGCTGAAGGGGTTATTCCCACTGAGACGCGCTCGGCTCCTAGAGCGGCCGGCGGGCTGGGAAGAGCGCGGCTTCCCGGGGCGGGATCTGGGATCCCAACCATCACAGCGCGGGGACACAGCTCGGCCCCGCGGGTTCGCGGGCCACTTCCGGAGGGAGGGCCGGGCGCTGCAGTCCTCTGCCCGCCCTCGCTGCCACCGCCGAGCTTTGGGCGCCGCTCCCTGGGACCTTTCCTGGGTCAGCCAGAGGTGGGGGTGGTGCCGGCCTCGTGGCTGTAGCGTGCGATTCTTGGCTCGGCTGAGCTCACTCATCTAGAACATGCCAAGACTTTCCAGGTATTTAGCCCAGGACTCTGTCTCTCCACATCATGGGGATTATGTGGTCACTTTTTCTGAGGAGGCTGGTGACCTTTCTTCCCAGAGGAGACAGCTTTTCTTGTTTGTTTGGACACAGGCACTGACTGTGTAGCCAAGGCTCCTACCATCGATTCCCAACAGTCTTTCCCACCTGCCGGTCATCCGAATTCCCAGGCCTCTAGAGGCCTCATCACCTATTGACAAACCAGTGCCACCTGCAGTCTTGGCTGTTTCTGCCTTCACCTCACATGCCACCCCACTACAGGAGGCTCCAGACAGCCTCTCGTGCCTGCACACAGAACCTTGGGACCACTGTGTAGTCGCTGTTTGAATTCAGACCCAGCTTGGCGTTTAACACAGTTTGAAATGTGGTTCCAGCTACAGGCTGCTCAGTGTTGCCCAGAAATGGATGTCACCCCAGGACAATAGAGGGAAGCAGTCTCAATATTTATTGCCATCTCAACAAAAAATAGACAACTGACACTCAGGAGGCAGAGGCAGGTGGATCTCTGTGAGTTTGAGGCCAGCCTGGTCTACAAAGTGAGTTCCAGGACAGCCTCCAAAGCCACAGAGAAACCCTGTCTTGAAAAAAAAAAAGACAACTGAAATAGTGACCTAACAAGTGTCTTCATTTGGATGCGTCCAGCCAGATACTGCAGCATTCACGTTCTTCTGAGCTACCCTTGGAGTTTGCTGTAAAATAAATTACTATTAAGATACTAGCAAGCCTTACAAGTATGGGAAAGTTGGAATATTTGCTTGCATTCCATCTGATCATAGACATCAAACCAACTAAGACCCTAGAGTACAAGACTCATGTGGTTAGCACAATACTGAGTGAAGGAACTCTAGAAATCTCTAGAAATAAATGAAAATGAAAACCCAATAGACCCTATGAGTTACAGGGCAAGTGGTAAGAAAAGGCTATTTGTGGCAATAGTTCTCCACTTTAAGGAATTAGATAACTCAAATAAATAGTGATACATTCCTTAGGGCTTTGGAAAGCAAGCCAAACCTAAACTCAGTAGAAAGAAATAATTAAGATCAGGGCAAAAATGAATGACATTTGAATAATATGATAAATGAAATAATAATGATAAGTGAAAAAATATGGAGAATGAAAGAGTTGCTTCTTAAAAAAAAAGCATGATTGCTGGGTAGTGGTGGTGCACACCCAGCACTCGGGAGGCAGAGGCAGGTGGATCTCTGTGAGTTCGTGGCCAGCCTGGTCTCCAGAGCCAGTTCCAGGACAGCCAGGGATGTTACACAGAGAAACCATCTCAAAGAAATCTTTAGCCAAGCTGACTGAAAGAAGGGGAGACTTGAAAGAGTAAAGTCTGAGGTGTAAAAGAACCCAGGACAGCACATGGCAATAGCATTTACGAAGTCATGAGTTGCTTTGATACTGCCTTTGGCCTAGGTATCTGGGGCCAGGACTGTACCCAGGAATTACTAGCTCATGGCTAATTATTATGACATGCCTAAAAATTTTACTAATTTGGAAAGTCAGTCCAAAAGAAATAGAAAAATGTCTAGGAGCACATACCTATCGAAATTAAACCAAGACAAGATAAACTATTTTTGTTGTTGTCTGTTATTTGTGGAGCTAGAGATGATTTGGTGGTGAAGACCCAGGTCCCTTCCTAATTTCCACAGGTGGCTTACAAGCCACTGTGACTCCTGCTTCAAAGGGTCCAGTGCCCTCTTCTGACCGCCTTGAGCTTCTGCGACATTTGACACACATACAGACACTAAGACCCATACATACATGATAAAAATTTGTCTATTGGCCTGATGCTTGCTGCCAAGCCTGATGACTTGAATTAGGGCCCCAAGACCCATGACAGAAAGCACAAATCAATTCCCACAAGTTGTCACTTGACTTCCATCCCAAGCTCTGACATGCATGCACCCACTCACACCCATGTGCACACATATACTATTTTTAAAATGTATTTCTATTTTATGTACTTTGGTGTTTTGCCATGGGTATCAGGTCCCCTGGAACTGGAGTTATAGACAGTTGTAAGCTGCCATGTGGGTGCTGGGAATTGAACCCAGGACCTCTGGAAGAGCAGTCAGTGCTCTTAACCACTGAGCCATCTCTCCAGAATATTAATTTGTTCAGGTATGTGTCTATATTTGTGTACGTGTGAGTGTATTTACAGATGTTTAAGTGTATTTATAGAGGTTGAATAGGGCATGGGGCGTCTACTTTTGTCACTCCCCACTGTTGCTTCGAGGCAGGATCTCTCCCTCAATGCAGGGCTTACATTTTTCTCACATAAACTGGAAGTTAGGATGCCTCACAGACCTTCCTGCTTCTGTTCTCCTAAAAACTAGGGTTACAGGTGTGTGCTGGATGCCAGGTTTATACACTCGGCCAGAGACCTGAATTCTTATCATCATGATTGTGCCACAGATGCCCTTACCTGCTGAACCATCTCCCCAGCCCCCAAAACAAACGATTTAAACAGATATGTAACAAGTAATGAACCTAAAGCAATAATTTAAAACTCCCAAATAAGAAAGTCCAGGCTAAGCAAAAGGACCAGCAAGCAGGTTTGGAACTCATGGAAAAAGACTCAGTGATCAACATCATCACAATGTGTGGGCCTTGGAGAGGCAGAGCCCTGAGGACTGTGTCCTGAGGTCCTCATGCTATTACTGAGCACACAGCATTGCTTATGATGTCACCACATCCCTCCTAATCTATGGGTTGTATGAAAACTCTCAGGGATTTCTAGCCCCTCACTGGGCAGTGTTACTGGTACTTATAGTAATTGTGACTGACTTTTTCCAAGCATTGTTGCTGGAACAGATTAATGACTCAGCCACCACCACCAGAAAGAATTCATACATATAGAATCATTAGTAAGTAGGTTAAGATATTTTGTCAATGTCTTTGAAGTAGAAAACCTTGGGGAACAATTTAAAGTTTAGAAAGGTGCACTTTTGTTAGCTGAGCGAGGGACTGGCAGAGGTCAAGGAACAGGAACAAAGGCAGCCTGGCTATTACTTGCTGACGTGCCTTTCTTGCTAGGATGGGTTGGTGATCAAAGGCAATGATTAATTAATTCCTTCTACCCATTTTTGCCCTCAGTTCCTGATATGATTTAATAAAGTTGTTGAGTGGGTATGCATTCTGAGGACTTAACGTAGAAATGACTTTTATATATAAAGGTTTAGATTTGTGATTCTTTTAGGATCTTTTATAAAGTACTTCTTGAGATAAATAATAAAATGATTGATCCTTTCTTTGTAATCGCAGAATTCAGCCTGCCAGTTAAGGAACTGACTGAGAAAAATATCTTGCTTGTTTACACATTGTTAATCTATAACATGTTGCTTAGACATGAATTTATGTGGGCTCTTGGGAATAATTTTTCACCTGTAATACATAATATGTTTAATCATGTGAGGGAAATGAGAAACATGCTGTTTTTTACTTGCATTCATTGTAGCCAGTCACTTAAAAAATAGAATGTAATCACACGTTGTAATTTTTATACTGCTTGAAAGATTCTGCTGGTGTATATAAACAGGGGGAAAATTAAAGAGTGACCCTGACATGTTGAAAGTGTGTGTGTGTGCGTGTGTGCGCGTGTGTGTGCGCGTGTGTGTGCACAAATGCGCCCCACCTTTTTGCCAGCCCCAGAGAATTAAGTTTTGTCCCACTTGTGGGTTCCAAAGTACTAAGTTTTCCTCCCTCAGAGAAAATGCCTGTTGTGAGATTAGCTGCTGCCTCCACATCTCCCCTTCAGTACCTGACCTGCTGAGGACACAGGCCCAAGTGGACTTATGGCTGAATTTCACAAAGTCTCTAAAGAAGTATGAACAGCAATAGGAAAGAAAGGACATCTACCTACCAAACTTAAGAAAGAAAAAAAGAGATGGCTTAGCGGTTATGAGCACTGACTGTTCTTCCAGAAGTCCTGAGTTCAATTCCCGGCAACCACATGGTGGCTCACAACCATCTATAATGAGATCTGGTGCCCTCCACTAGCATGCAGGCAGAAGACTGTATAAACAATAAATAAATAAAATATTTTAAAAAAAAAGAAAGAAAAAAGAAATGTGTGTGTGTGTGTGTATGTACCACACACATGCAATGCCCTCAGCTGCCAGAAGAGGGTGTCCATTCTCCCACAACCAGAGTTATAGACAATTTTGAGCCACCATGTGGGTGCTGGAAATTGAACCCAGGTTCTCTGGATCAGCAGCCAGGGCTCTTAACCTCTGAGCCACCTCTCCAGTCCAGCTAACAAATTCTTTAGAAAGCCAATATTACCCCATACCAAAACTAGACAAAAACACAACAACAACAAAATTTAGACCAATCTCCCCGATGGCACTGAAACAAAAATTCTCAATGAAATACTTGCAAACCAAGTTCAAGAAACATTGTTCTTAGAGCTGGAGAGATGACTTAGCAGTGAAGGGAGCTTGCTGTTCTTGTATTAGGTTCTGAGAACCTGTGTTGGGAGGCATACAACTATCTGTAACTCCAGTTTCAAGAGATCCAATGCCTTCTCATGGACTGTGTGGACACCCGCACACATCTGGCACACACTCTCACAGACATACACATTCATGTAAATAAAACAAAAGTCCTTACAAAATCATTTGCTTTATTTCAAAATAGCAGGACTCATTCAATATATACACATCTATAAATATATCATATAACTGGACTCAAGGACAGAAATCACATGATTGATTATCTTAACAGATTTAGAAAAGACCTTTGACAACATCCAGTGTCCATCCTTGACGAAATGTCCAAAGAGCTAGGAATAGAAGGCACATATCTCAAAATAGTAAAGGTGATGTAAAAAAACACCTTTGGGCCAGGAGTGGTGGCACACGTCTTTATTCCCAGAGCTCAGAGACAGAAGCAGGTGGGCCTCTGTAAGTTCCAGGCAACCAGCACAACACAGTGAGACCCTGACAACAGGTGTGTAGCCAACATTCTGCTGAACAGGTTAAAACTGAAAGCATTCCTGCTGACGGGATGTGACAGGGTTATACTCTTTCTCCTCTCCACTCATTATAGTGCTGTGAACTTTTAACTGAATCAGTAAGACGAGAAATAAATAGGAAAGAAAGAAGTATCCCTATTGGCAAGTAATAGGACTCTGCACCTTTGGCCCTCCAGACTCCATCAGAAAACTCTCAGAATCGATAAGCACTTTTAGCAAAGTGGCAGGATACAAAATCAACACAAAAATCAGTATCCTTTCTATATACTGGTAGCAAACATGTTGAGGAAGAGATCAGGGACAAAGCTGGGGAGACGGCTCAGCAGTTAAAGAGCACTTTCTGTTTTTGTGGGTCAGGGTTTGGTTCCTAACACCCACAAATTTAAGAAGATGCTAGCATGTAGAACACCACTCCAGATGCTCCTGAGTTGGAAGAACAGAGAATCATGGTAATAAAAGGAATGTGGTACCAGCACAAACACAGATATGCAGAACAATGGGGCAGAACACAAGACGCAGATAAAGTCACACAACCACAATCACCTAATGTGTGACCATGATGCCAACAATAAACATTGGAGAAATGAGCAGCGCGTTGGTGGCGCACGCCTTTAATCCCAGCTCTCGGGAGGCAGAGGCAGGCGGATCTCTGTGAGTTCGAGGCCAACCTGGTCTCCAGAGCGAGTTCCAGGACAGCCTCCAAAGCTACACAGAGAAACCCTGTCTCGAAAAACAAAATCAAAAACAAAAAGAAAACTGGAGAAATGTTTGGGCATCTACAAGAAGACTAGATCTTATCTCTCACCCCAGCACAAAAATTAGCCCCAAACAGATCAAAGACCTTAACAGAAGACCAGAGACTGAAAATGTCAGAAGAAAGAGTAGGGAAGACGACATTTCAAAATCTGGACACAGAGAAGACTGAAAGGACCCCAGTGCCCAGGGGGAAAGCCAGTGATGGACAAGTCAGAGCTTGATCCCGTCTACTCTCTGTTGCTATGATAAACATGCTGGCCAAAACGAAAGCAGCTTGGGCGGGAAGGATTTATTTAAGTGTGTGTTTCAGGTCACACTGTGCCATGGAGGGGGACAGGGCAGGAGCTCTGAAGCAGAGAACCGTGGAGGCCGCCCTGCTCTCCTGGTTGCTCCTCTTCAGTTTTCTTATCTAGCCAGGACTACCCACACGGGCTCTCACATGCCAAGTCAAGACAATGCCCACAGATCTGCCCACAGGCCAGTCTCATCTGGACAGTCCCTCAACTGAGACCCCTCTCTCCAGGTAACCCTTGGTTGTGTCAAGTTGAGAGAAATGGTCTGAGCTGTTAAGGGTCTCTTCCAGAGGACCTGGGTTCTATTCCCAGCACTCAGGTGACAACCTCAATAGTCTGAATGTAACTTCAGTTCCAGGATCTATATCCTCACACAGATATGCATGCAGGTAAAACACCAGTACACATAAAAAATTTAATTAATTAAAAGAAAAAAATACACCAGGCAGTGGTGGTGCACACCTTTAATTCCAACACTGGGGAGGCAGAGGCAAGAGGATCTCTGTGAGTTTGAGGTCAGCCTGATCTACACAGTGAGTTCCAGGATAACCAGGGCTACAGAGAAACCCTGTATCCAACAACAACAACAAAAAGGAAATTTTTGTTTTGTTTTATTTTCCAAGACAGGGTTCTATGTGTAACAGTCCTGGCTGGCCTGGAACTCTCTCTGTAGAACAGGCTGGCCTTAAACTCATTAGACAGCTTTGGAGGCTGTCCTGGAACTAACTCTTGTAAACCAGGCTGGTCTCGAACTCACAGAGATCCTCCTGCCTCTGCCTTCCAAGCACAGGGACTAAAGGCATGTGCCACCACACCTGGCTTATTAATAAAATGTTAAAAAAAAACAAATCTAGCACAGACTCAGGAAATTGACAAGTTTTTTTATAGCAAAGGAAGCAGTTAATTAGGAAGACAGACTGTAAAATAGGAAAGAATTTTGTGAGCTATGCATTTGACATAGGATTAAAATTTAGAATATATAGTGATTTAAAAAACAAAATAAAAAACAACAGCAACTAAACAACAAGAAAACAAGGGACAGCTCAGTGTTTAAAAAAGCAGTGGCTGCGTTTGTAGATCTGGGTTTGGTTTATAACTATCAGTAACTCCAGTTTCAGGAAATCCGGTGCCCTCCTCTGGCTCCTGCAGGTACTCAGAAAGCACATAGTGTCTGTACATATACTCAGACAAAACACACGTACACATAAAATATTTTTCAAAATGAAAGCAACCCAATAATAATTGGGCTAGGGAAATGAACATAGTTTGCAAAAGAGGAAACAAGTTCATTCATCAGAGAAACCTAAATTAAGACTATAGTGAGCTTGGTGTGGTGGTGCACACCTTTAATCCCAGAACCTGGGAGGCAGAGGCTGGCGGATCTGAGTTTGAGGCCAGCCTGGTCTACAGAGTGAGTTCCAGGAAAGCAAGGACTACATAGAGGAACCCTGTCTCAAAACAAAAACAAAAAACAAACAAAAACTCAAAAAACAAAAACAACAACAAAAAATAAAAAGGTATCAATTGGCCAGCAGAACTTTTCCTGTTTCTGTGTTGTGTATGAGCGTGTATATTGTACATGTATCTGCATGCGTGGGTACTGATGTTTGTCCATCTGACATACATGAAGGCAGAAGTTCACCTCCACAGTTGCCTCGACGTCGTATGTTTTTAATTACTTCTATCATTTATTTATTTACTTATTTATTTTGGGTTTTCCAGGCAGGGTTTCTCTATATAAATAGCCCTAGCTGTCCTGGAATTCACTATGTAGGCCAGACTGACCTCACACTCACAGAGATCCACCTGCCTCTGCCTTCTGAGTGCTGGGATCAAAGGTGTGTGCACCACCACCGCCAGGTCATGTTACTTTATTTTTATGCAGATGTGTCTGTCATAAGTGTGTGGATGCCTGTGGAGGCCAGAAAAGTCACAGGTGGTTGTGAGCCACCATTCTTTGGTGCTCTAAAATGAATTCAAGAGCAGCAAATGATCTATTTAAAAATTTTTTATTTAATATGCATTGGTGCTTTGCCATGGGTGTCAGGTCCTCTGGAACTGGAATTACAGACAGTTGTGAGCTGCCATGTGGGTACTGGGAGTTGAACCCAGGTCCTCTGAAAGAGCAGTCAGTGTTCTTAACCAATGAGCCATCTCTCCAGCCCACAAATATCTTAATTGCTGGGCCATCATCTCTCTAGCCCTGTGCTGGCTATCTTCATGTCAACTTGACACAGTCTAGAATCATTTGAGTGAGGGAACATCAATTGAGAAATGTCTCCATAAGATTTGGCTGTACGCAAATCTGTAGGGCGTTTTCTCAATTAGTGATTAATGGAGGAGGGCCACGCATGCTGGGTGGTGCCACTCTGTTCTGGTGATCCTGGGTTCTATAAGAAAGCAGGCTAAGTGCTGGAGAGATGGCTCAGAAGTTAAGAGCACTGGCTGCTCTTCCAGAG